AAGCAAGAACGTTCGAACGTCCACTTGAACTATAAAAAGACCAGATTGCTAAGACATAGCATGTTGCGGCCAAGAAGGAAGACCTTGAAGTACTTAAGTACCACATTCGAACACCAACTCACGTTCGAACATCCACTTGAATTGATTGAAGACCAGGTGATAAGTGAAAGTGCCAAGTTCTATATAGAGTGTGGAAATAGGTTTCCACAGAAGACCACAGGTCACTTGAGTGAGAGGGTCAAACCCCATCTAGCTTTCAAATGCCTATAAAGTAAAGACAGAAGAAACGTTCGAACACCATACAACGTTCGAACGTCCATAAAGCAAAAACACATACAACGTTCGAATGCCAACTCATGTTCGAACGTTCTCCACAGACAGACTGCAGAATGGTTGGCTATCACTTGGACTTGGGCGGCATACACTATTCTTTCACCAACCCCCTACTCCTTGCCTATAAATACTCCCATTGTGGGATCTTCAAAAGAGGATGTTCTTGTGGAAGACTAGAATTTGGTTTGTAAGTCTTAGACTACACCAAGAACTAGTCAAGAGCTAGATGGAGGTTTAGACTCCCACTCATATAGCTAGATTTATATTTGCTTGTGTCAAGGGAGATAGTTCATCTTTTGGTTGAGGAAGCAACCCTCCATTTCTTGGTTGAGGAAGCCACCCTCCAAATGTGACTAGCTTTCTTTTACCTTTATTTTTATTTTATTTCACTTCCATTGCTTGAGCTTCCTTCTTTCGTAGAAAAGTGAAACTCTTTCACTTTTCTAGAGTTTTACCAAAGTCATGAAGGGTGGAACGTGATTCACTCATTCTTTGTTGAAAATTGGCTCCTTGTTTATTGTACTTTCATTTTGTAACTCCTCTACTTGGAGGGATGAGTATCACTCACTTTTCTAGCTTTACCCAAGCCATGAAGAGTGAGTAGTTCCTCATTCACTCTTTAGTAAGAGGTAATGAACATGTATTGATTATCCATAAGTTATATTTGTGCATTTCCTTTATGCTTTAATGCTTTATATTTCACTTATTGAATGATTGAATGCATCTAGTAAAATTAATGTACTTTGTATAACCATGGGTACTTTCTATGTCACAGATGACTCTTGCATGGAAAGACCCGTTAGTTCAAGGCAAGTACCTCGGCTAGATCTTCATGACAACATTTCAATCTTTACCATTATTGTGTTTTATCTAAATAATGGAACAATAATGTCATGGTTGAATGCCTTGTAGAAACACTTGCTTGTTTATAGGTGGGTTGAGCCTCGGTATAGACAATTCTTTTAAACTTCTAGGAAGGCATCGGAACTATGTGCTTAATTCACACAGTTCATCTTTATCTTTCGACTAACTTGTTGTTGATATGGGAGTTAATTGAGTTATAAAGCACAAGCATAACAAACCGGATGATTACTTACATATTCTGATCCTCAAGCTAAAGAGTGACTGTTTTACATTTGAATTTATCTTATATTTTGTCTAGAAAACTCTTGGAAAGAATCTTATATTCTATTCAGGAAATCCCACAACTTCAAACTCTCAAGGTTTTCAATTACTTGATCTCTATCACTCCTTACTTCAAAACACTAATCATAGTTCCCTGTGGATTCGACTCCAGACTTAACCGAATTATTACTACAACTTGACCCCCTGCACTTGAATGTACACATTTTGGATCAAGTCATGTACCTTTTACTGTGCATCCTTAGTCCTTTAAATAGGACTATATCTTCTTCTAGGGTTCTCGTTAATGATAAAATAAGGTGGTACATCCCTCATCATTCTTGAATATTGGTTGGGGATCACTGGAATCTCTCCAGACGATCTCCCAATCACCCGTTATTTAGAGTAGTGGATCATGCTTATTTATAGCGCCTAAATTTTCTTAATTTTAGGCACCTCCCTATGATTCGGGTAAAATCCATATTTCGAATAGAGCTCAGCCTTGAAATTGACCAGTCCAGCTTATTAACCCAACAGTTGAATCAATGACCTGTTAAAAATATGAAGTAATGACAAATGTTAGTAGAAGAAAATATGTTAGTAAGTAATCAAGATTCAAGTAGTGGAAGGTGAGAAACAGTGCTACGTAAATTCTCGAAGGTAGGGAAAAGTAACAGTGTCTTAATGTTTTAGTGGTTACAATAGTTAATTGAGATAGTGGCAGTTTGAGACCTATATATATAGGATATATAGAGTATTGTTAGTGATAAACCGAGTTGAGTTCAATGAAAAACCCAAGTTAAATGTGAGTGTCTGTAGTTTGTAATCCACTTGAATAAAAACTTATGTTTTAATTTGATTGATCAATCGCCTCCTTTAGTTCAATTATCTTTTTGCCTTTTAATTCTAACAAAATAGTATCAAAGCCAAGGATAAATTATACTTTGACCTACTCAACTGTGAACTTCTCTTCACTTTGTCCCTTGAACTATTGAATTTTTCACATTGTTCTTCAACTAGCTCATATAATTAGGTCCATGTGGCATTAGTCAATATGTTTTATCCATTTCTGATCATATGAAAAATGAAATTTTAGCATTCATCGAATGGTTTGTGAGTTTGCTACTTTGTTTTTTTTTTTTTTGAATTTTCGACGGCATCAATGATATGGAGCTATTGAGCAACATCTTCACTACTAGAGTTAACATGATAGTTACGATTGTTTATTAGAAGATTAATGCTAATGAAGCCCAGAAAATTGAGTTAAATTGTTGATCTAATGATGTGGTCCAATCACGTTGTTGTGTGTTTAACTTTTGGACTTTTCTGGACTCCATCAATTGACGCATAATCGGAGTAAAACATGTAAAAGAACGTAACAAGAAACCTTCATGTCCACAATATTCAAAATCAAGGGTTTTAATCAAGAATAAATACTTTTTGGATGTAAAACATATAATTGTATATAAATCATAGGTTTATTCACAAATTGTAACACATATTAAAAAGGAATGTAAAAAATTTATAAATATATCACATAGATAGGATTGTAAATCAAGAACTAGGATTTTGCTTCAAGAATGAATAAATCTTTAATACAAAACAAGTATTCTGTTTAATAAACGAATCGTAGTATACAACCAATGAGAAAACGTTATGGATCTATTATTTATATTGTAGTAAAGATGAAAAATGTATAATTATATAATTATTATCTCAATGTATGAATTTAAGAAAGAAAACCTACACGAATCTATTGTTTAATGAAAACCAAGCACATTTGTGGCATTCCTTATACATTAATCTTTCCAAATCTCCCCATTTTTCATTTTCCTAACTCTCCTAAGCCTTCTAGGGTTTCAAACTGACCTATGGAATGTCCTTAGGGTATTTATAGGGTTAGAAACTGTTCAGTCGGTCCCAGTCTGATTGCTGCTAAACGCGCACTTACATTCAAACGTGCCTCGTTCGAAAGTAACTTGTGTTCCAACATACTCTACTCCCAGCATCTCTTATTTGTCAATTCTTTCTATCAGAAACAAAATACTGTGGCTAGCCTATATTCGAGCGTCACACTAATTTTTGTTGAAACATGTAATACAATTTTGACCTAGTTAGAAGTCGATCCATAAAATATTTATTAGATACACATTTGTAGCTCTTGAAGTTTAGTTCTTACTATCCAATAATCAAATCAATCTAATGTCAAGATAAAAAGTTATAATTCGAATATTAAGGCAATATCTAATTATTTTCTCTCTAAATTCTCTCCAACATGCCTATAATATTCAAAAGACTTCCAAACTTTTAACGACACTCATATTACCTATTCTTTAGTCATATTTACGTATGTCATACATGATAATCTAATACACATTACAACAATTACATGGGCTGTCAAACCCAAACAAGGTTTACAAGTTAAAAAAATAGATAAATCTCAGTTATAAAATAGCATATATGGTTTTATAGTAAAAGAGTGATATTTAATAAAGATCCTAAGTTTATGGAACAAAACAATAAATTTTATAGTAAAATATAATCACTTAGCAAAACTGCAATTCATAACATGATATCTCATATACGCAGGATGATTAGCATGAATTTACACACAAAATCTATTTTGTTCACCCTCCACAATCACAAACCATCTTAAATCTCACAGTAGATAACATTGCTCTTATAAGAATACATAATCTCACAACAGATACTTTGCCTTATTTTAGCAAACTAAGAACACGTAGAAGACTCACTTTTCTTTTGTATTTTCATAGCAAAGAACTACTTATTTGAACAATGACCCTTAGTAGTCACACGTGGCCGTCATAATGTTTAGCGAGAAGGGAAAGGGCATTTTTCTTGTGCATTACTAGACCGGGCATCACATCAGTGTCTATGTCTTCCTTCTCCATCCCAACAGGTAGTTCCCAGTCGAATGAGTACAGTAAATTAGCAAGTGCGTGCTCTACCAGGACAGATCCCATGTATACTGCAGGACAGCTTCTTCGGCCAGCTCCAAAAGGAACTAGCTCAAAATCTTGTCCTTTGAAGTCAATATTACTGCCCAAGAATCTTTCAGGCAAGAACTCCTCAGGGTTTTCCCAAGATTCAGTATCCCTTCCAACAGCCCACAAATTCACGTAAACTAGAGTTTGAGGTTGGATTTCATACGCATCTATAATGCATGTTTGAGTAGCTTCTCTCGGAATTATAGGAACGGGTGGGTATAATCTCATTGCCTCCTTTACCACTGCCTTGAGATAAGGAAGCTTTTGAAGATCATCTTCGTCTACTTTAGCTTTCCCTGCAAGGGACTTCCTGATTTCTTCTTGCACTTTCTGCATCACTATAGGGTTTTTCATTAAGCCCATCATGGCCCAAACAATTGTGGCTGCACCCGTGTCTGTTCCACCGGTTATTATATTCTGGCATAGAAAAGGTAAACAAAAGAAAATATTTGAGAAAACTTTTATAAAGAGAAACAGTTATAAGAGTAGGACTATGCGAGCTCTAGTTAAAAGCAAAAACTGTATGATATTTATAACCATGAGCACGGCTTTAATATGGTCTAATGGGATATCCATGGAATCTGATTGATCCTCTTTCAGTTGTAACAAGATGTCGATGAAGTCTTCTTGTATGGATTTTTGCCTGTTTGGACCTAGGTGGTCGTCAATCAGTTCTTGGTAGAACATATTCATTTGATGAAAATTCTTCTCTAAACGAGAACGTAACCCAGTGAGCTTATCAACCCAGGAAAACAATGGAAAATAGTCTGAGATAAAGAATCCTCCCAACATGGCTTGAGTTTCGTTAAGTAAATCATGGTATCTACTTCTCTCATATCCTTCATCATCATATTTTTTACCAAAAGCAACTCTACAGATAACATTGTTTGTGAGAGATAATGCTATTTCGCTCAGATTTGTGAGCTTGGATAAAGAAGCTTGTTGAGATATTTTATTGACCATTCGGCAAATTTCATCTTCACGTATCGGACGAAAGGATTGCACTCTTTTGGCACTGAAAAGATTAAGAATACAAATCTTTTTCATCTCCCTCCAATGATCATTATAGGGTGAAAAAGCCACATCTGAGCCATTATAAGACAGCTTCTGCTGGCCAACCAGCCTAGGCCTGCTACAAAATGTGAGGTCATGGGTTTTCATAACCTCTTTTGTTAGCCGTGCCGAAGAAACCACAAGGGTTGGCACAAAACCAAGCCTCAACGACATGAGTGGGCCGTACTTTCTAGAAAGTTGCCATAGGTATTTGTGAATGGTCGAGTTATCGATCTGGTGTAAGTTTCCGAGAAAGGGTAGTCCCGGAGGACCCGTTGGAAGAAGCTTTTGTCCACTTTTTCTCCACTTAGAAAGAACAAAAAAGAGAAATATAGAGAGAGCTAGAATAAAAAGAAGCAAGCCCATTTTGATCGAGAGCTTGATTTTTTCTTATGTAATAATAGTGATAAGAGTCTTTAAATAGAATTCTTTCTACATTTTCGTGACGTGCTTTACAAGTAAAATTTATTATAAAAGTTATTTTTTATAAACGTAACACTTGCAAGTTATAGCACGAGATATTAATCAATCCAAGTTTTTAAGTAAAACTAAATTGATTTTAATTCAATTCATATCCACCATAATAATTAATTTGTCGTTTTTCATATCTCAATTATATGTGTTTGGATTAAGATTTGAACAAGATGTGGGTACATTGTCTTAATACTAATCACATGATTGGGTGGGAGATTATTAAGAGTTTTTACCCCAATCTAGGAGATATTTAAAAAAATAGTAATGCTACGCTGATTAAATTTTAAAATTAAATTAAGAGTTCAAATGATATAGCAGCATATTATTTTGAATCTTTATTGGGTCTCAAATGACATGATACCAAATAAAGACTTCCAAAGCAGCTGATTATATCATTGGGACTTTTATTTTGGTTCCAAAATTTAGTTAGCGTAGTATTACTGTTAAAAAAAATACCTTAAAAGGGTTGGTTTGAAAGCATTTCCCAAATTCAGGCATTTTTAAAAACGTTAGTAAGAATGACGTTTTTGTACAAAATATGTTAGTTGGAGTAATATTTTTAGCATAAAAACGTCAGACCAACTGACTTTTTTGTGCAAGACTGTAACCCATTTACAACTAAAAACATTAGTCCAAATAATGTTTTAGCTAAAAACTTAGCGATTTGTGCAAAGACTGTTCACATACAGCAAAAAGGTTTGGATAAATTACATTCACACCCTTTGATATTTGGTTTTATTACATGGACACTATCTCACATTTCAAAAATTACACTGAGACCCCAAATGCCGTCAAGTAATAGATGTCATTAACAAAAGTTAAAAAATGGCAACAATATCCCTCGTTCTAAGTTTGAAAAAAACTCAAAGTGAACTAAATTACAATTCAGATGCTAATGAAATAAATTTAACAACAAAATCAAATTAAACTTAATACTAAAGCAAATTTAGCACCTAATCCAAATTAAACTTAATACTTAAACAAATGTAACACCTAATTCAAATTAAACCTTATGATTTTTTCATTGAATTCAATCTTATCTTTTCAATATTAAGTTAATTTTTTGGTTTTGGTCAATACAATGATCATTGCCTGCCACTCCAAGTCCATAGATTCTCACCACCACCACCACCACCACAATGATCATCACTATCATGACCATGACCACCACAACCATCACCACCACTACTACCATCACATTCATGAGGATAATGGTAAGTTGACTGAAATGCAGGGAGCATTAATTTTTTTTTAATTTTTTTTTGACTTAGTCAAATAGAGGGGTGAGTTGGATAGATTGGATATGGGCATTGGTAAATCTCAAGGATATATGAGGGTTAAAAAAGTCTTTTTACTGAAATTGTTAATATCTGTTAGACAAAAGGGGTGAGGCTGTCACACGTGTTTAAATGTCAAGGGGTGTTAGTATAATTTTTGAAATGTGAGGGGTGTCCGTGTAATAAAACTAAATGTCATTAGGTGAGAGTGTAATTTATCCAAACCTTTTGCAGAATGTGTACAGTCTTGCACAGATCGTTGAAGAAACGAGGAATAGCTAAAAACATCGGTCCAAAAGAGTTTTTTTAGCTAAAACGTCATTGGATTAACGTTTTTAGGTGTAAATGGGTTACAGGTCTGACATTTTTATGATAAAATGTTACTTTAACTGACGTCTTTTGTATAAAAACGTCATTCCTAGTGACATTTTTAAAAGTGTCTGTGTTTAGAAAATACTTTCGAACTAACCCTCTTTTAAGTATTTTTTTTTTAAAACCCATGGGTTGGGTAAAAGCTCGATTATTAATGTATGCTAAGTTGTAAATAGAGTCTCATTTAGTTTAGCCAAACGTGCAAATTTTATTGATAATTTTGGAGTATGAAGGCAGGCTCTAGAATATACCATGCCATTTTTATTGCCAGACATTCCATCTCAATAAATAGGGTAAATTTCACAAACATCCCTTAAATTTAGGTCATATTTCATTGAAACCCTCTCTGATTTTTAAAATATCATTGCATACCTCTATAGTTTGCATTTCAAAAATCACTCCTACTGTCTATTCTGTTCCGGACATGCAAAAAATCTTATTATGTGATGGTTAATTTTCCTATGATTTACCTATTTTACCCCAAATTCTATATATACACCAAGATTGAAAAAATATGATGCCATCTTATTTTCTTTTACTATTTAAAATAGTAGACATTTTCTTACTATTCTAATTACCATCTACAATAATAGAGTTGGTCTACAATACCAACACAAGTTCAATGTTAATTTTGTTGTTTCTAGTGTTCTAAAATTGTAAAATCACTTATTGAGATTTTTGATTTGAAACTTGCAATGTAACAAAACAGTAAGAAAAGAGTTACACAGAACTTGTCTTACACGAAAGAATTACAACAGTCTTACAAAATAGTTACAACAAACATTTACACGTAATGTTTGTTTAAATAATATAAATACTAACCCGATTGCAAAGCATGAACAGTTATTAAATTTTAGGTAGATCAATGCTAGTATTTGACACTATATCCTTAAGATAGATTTTGCCCCACATATAGTGCTTATGGAATACCGAGCGTCTGCTTCCCAGGATACAATGATCTTTACAAGAGCAGATGTAGCACTCTAATTTACTCGTTCAGTGAACCAAACTTGTGTTGTATACTCTCCAAATGTAGACTTCTTAATGCCGATAATGCTATGCACTAAGATCTGACTTAACTCTGTATATGAATTGATTAATGTAATGAAAGTAGAATGGTAATGAGTTTGGGTATTTATGGACATTGTGGTGACTTTTCGGATAGTCACAAAACTAAAAGACATAACCCAGAATCAGTAGACACCACTTGTATAACTATTCTGTATGAACATACACAACTAAATTCGGACTGGAGTGAAACAACACATTCGAATTCATATCCAATGGATACCAAAAATTAAATTTTGGGTTAAGAAATTCACGCTCATTAATTAAAAGAATTTTTTTCAAAAAGATAGGGCTTACCCACACCCAAGCCCAAGCCCGGTTAGGTAGGATCGTGTTCGTGGCGAGGCAAGGCAAGCGGGCGACACGAGTGCGTGTGTGTGGTTGAACTGAAGGCATATAGGTGCTCGCTCCGCTCATAAAATTGTGGTATCCCTTGAGGCCCAATCCCATAAAGTAAAATTGGCCTATATATGCCCATATAGAATTTCTTACTCAACCGATGTGGGATTGGTGTCAAATCCCACATTGCACAGCCTTTATTTCACAATTCAAGAGGGTCACTTTGGAGCCTATTTTTTCATTCATTTCTTACTCGATTTGAGCAAGTAAATATATTACATTATTCTCCTCACGGAATAGAATATGAACTCATAAAATTTTACTCGAAACAACGAACGGGTCCTACTTTAATTTAGACTAAAAGTCGACCAAATGACTCAATTTTTACACTTAAAAAACTGTTTTGCTACAATAATCCCCCACATAAATAAAAAATTGGTTGTTAGTATGCAAATGATAATGCTGACACACTATTGAGAGTACATCTTTGGAAAGATCGTGCATCGAGACAGGTAGCTTTTGGCCTTGAACCTTTCCGAGTAAAAGCTCATCGGACTTATCGGCTAAATAGTGAACGTGGTGTCTTGAACTATTCAGTTATTTGATAAATCAGATCAAAAAGACTTCACACAGTCTCTTTCTTAACATAATTGCTTCTCATGATTGTGTTTATTTTGACCCTAAACAACTCTTGATTTTCAGGAGTGCTTTAGAGAATTCAGCCTTTACAAATTCTTAAAGAAGTAGCCCCTTTACATCCATATAGGTGACTCCTATTAGGAATATCCTGCAATATCCCACTTGGATTTACCAAAGTATAAAAGTCATTAAAAGCATAGCTTACCCTAATAAACTCTGCAAGCAACACTAGTTTACCATAAAGATAGTTAGGAGAGATTATCTCCTAAGTGCTTCTTTTGTGAATCACGCATAATTCGGTTGTCCCTTTGAACCTAGATCTTGGGATCTCCAGTCTACTAGGTTGGGTTGCCATTAAAGTGACTCTTGTGTCATAGGCTTTCAAGATACAGTAGCACCACCAAGTGTAAAAACATAATCACTTGTGGATTTTGTATCCTAGTTTGCATTATTATACCCTTCAAGTACAGCTGGATATCTTGTATAGTGCAATCCAAAATATTTTTAGACAAATGAAGATTTATATCAACTAGTGTTCTAGTAATGCTGTTTTCATCTTTGTCGAACTTCTCAAATATTTTTTTAATATAATATGATTGAGATAATATAAGTCCACCAGATGTTCTAGAAATTTTAATTCCTAATATAACATCTGCAACACCTAAATCCTTCATGTCAAACCTACTGCGCAACATTTTCTTGGTAGTTGTAATAATATTATTATTACTACCTTATTATTACTACCTAAAATAAGAATATCATCCACATATAGGCAAACAATAACATATCCATTATTTATGTCTTTGACATAGACACATTTACCACATTCATTAATTGTGAAACCATTTGAAATCATTACCTTGTCAAATTTCTCATGCTATTGTTTTGGTGCTTGCTTTAAACTATAAAGTAATTTAACAAGTCCACACACCTTCTTCTCTTGTCCCGGAAAAATGAACCCTTCGAGTTGGTCCATATAAATTTTCTCATTTAAATCACCATTTAGAAAAGTTGTTTTCACATCCATTTGATGTATCTCAAGATTATACAACGCTGCAATAGCTATGAGCATACGAATAGATGTTATTCTCATGACAGGAGAATATTTATCAAATTAATCAAGGCCTTTCTTTTGTTTGTAACCTTTAGCTACAAGTCTAGCCTTGTACTTATAAATTAATTCATCACTTTTTATTT